AAAATAGTTTAATCAATGGTTTTACATCATATTATAATCCTGAAGTCATGAAATAGTTGAAGATAGTACGGTTAACTCGAATTAGTGCAATGATACATCCAATCCAAGTAGACAATCAACATGGTGTGAACTTTGGCCTACATATATGGGTGGCAACAGATCGGGTTGGGTTTGGACCCGGACCCGGACCCTGACCCGGACCCGAAAATATAGTGTAGTGCCCAAATCCGATCGGATCCCGGCCAAAAATTAAAACATATGTATTTAACTATATTTTATATATTGGGACCCAAAAAATATTATCAAACCTTGACCCATCGAACCTTGACCCAAATGGTGTTCAGGTTTGGGTTCAATTTTTGGACCCACACTAGGACCTGGATCAGGTCTACCCTCATATCTGGGTCCTTTGCCACCTTCATATAACATTCAAAACAAAAAAGGGTATGGTTAACATTTTTGTTTTTCAATCGATAATTGATAAGGTAGTACTAGGTTTATCACTTACTAATGGCAATAAACTTCCACAAACGATAAACTTCTCTCGTAAAATAACTTTATAATCATGAACTAATAACTTGGCAAGCAGCAGCAACAATCATGATTAAAACCGTGGTTTAAAAATTTACCGAGTCGACTCATAACTGGAAGGTCACAAACTTGGTTATCAAATGGTGTTCTCAGGTGAAACATAGGGAAATAAAATATTTTTGGTTTTAGTAATTTTTTCTCTTTTTTAACTAATAATACATCTCTATCCTCCATTTTCATCGACTTAGCATAAATCAATCCCTCTTAGCCCAAAAAAAAGCAATAGTTAATCAAAAGTTGCGTTTGAGCAAGATTTTCAATAAAAATCTTGCCATTTTTTAGCTTTAAAATCTGATCCGCTATGATATCTCTCTCATTTCTCAACCAAGTCATTTATAGTTGGAGTACTTTTAACCATACTTAGCAAGTCACCGATTTAATCGTGTTTTTTTTAAAAATGATTTAATATGTAACTTTTTCAATGGATCGGTAAAAATACATGATCTTTTCAAGAAGTTTAAAATGCAACTTTTTCAAAATTTGAAAAAATCGTTTCAAAAAAACTTTCCTATTAATATACTCCAATTTTTTTTTAAAAGAAAAGTTCAATGTCTTTTTCATATTTTATAAATTTTCTATTTCTATTCTCCCAAAACTGACTCTGGTTCTCTACTATGAATATGGTACGTATTTTTTTGGGTGGTTATTTGTAGACCATAGTTAGCAAGTATGGGGTTGACAATATCTTTCTAGAAAGATGAAAATTGAATTCACCTACCAAATACTTATCTTGACTAATAGAATAGATAATCATCTTATGATTTAGAGATATATCACATTGAATATTTGAAATTTATATTTATAGAGAGGTCATTTTTATACTCAGTGATATATATAGAGTGAAAGCATTACTCCTCGCTACTATTAATTTTTTCTATATTGAGTGATATATATTTAGAGCTTTTAAAATTTATAATATTTTAAATATATCTGATTTTTTGCTCCGATTTTTTGAGGCTAGTCCGATATATTCACGATCTCTTTACATGAAGTATTTTTGCCGATCCATGTTTATTACCCTATTTTTTATCCGACTTTTTAAAATAAAAACGATTAATTTCCGATTTCATGGCGAGCCAATTTATTGATAATCACCGACTTGCGAACTATGCTCTTAACACACTCCTATAACAAATTGTTGGTTTAAGAAGCAAACACAAGAAATCAAGAATTCCGATTTTAGGTGTTTCTCGAATCCAAAATATATATTTTTTTGGACTTCTTTCTCATTGTTTTACCACATAACTCAAAATTGTTCCAAAATATTTCAATCATATTAATCTACAAAGGCCCTAACAAATTGTTTTGAATCAAAAGGAACAAAAAGTCTATAAGACCAAAAGAAAAGGGCTAGTGGGGGATCACCGAGCCAACACTCCCAATGGGGGGGGACAAGGCCATCCACACTTCTCCACTAGAAAGGTCATCTACTTTGTCAGCACCCATTTAGACCATTGCAAAAGCTTGTATAACATACTACCGTGGGAGCATATTATACATTTATTCCCTACTTAACGATAAATTTTCGATTTGAGATTTCCAGATCCAGTTTAGAACCGCCATATGAGTATTTTCATAAAAATGAAATTGGATGGTCTTCGTTTGGTTTTTGGACATTACTTTTTCAAGCACAGATAGAGGGCTCATGATTTTTTTTTTTTTTTATTTCTTGAGATTGGTCGCTACGTTGAGCATGTTACATCTCCAAACATTGGCATTCTCAAATAGTCCTAGGTAGGTTTACTTGAGTGCGAAAATATAAAATATGTTCCTAATATAATCTTTTGGCTGGTTAAAGTATTAAAACTTCATTATCCTAAGACTTGAAAATTTTTATAATTTTTCCATAGCTTACAAAACGAATCATACATTGTACAACGGAAGCGAACAACAACTGTTCACCAAACTTAGTCCCATACACTCACATTATCATTGTAAATCACACCCTATAATGGTGATATAATCTTGCAAATTCAAGAAATGTGGCTCCCCATAAACAATATTGTCACTTGGGCTTCCTATTTAAAAGACTAGATCCACAAATGGAAATAAACATTTTTTACTACCCCAACTTTGAACTCCTATAGTTTAGCTTCTTTGAGCAAATCAACTGCGTAATCATGTTCAATTGAGCTTCATTGTATCATCCTAAAACATCCACTAAGAACCATATTGCCCTTAATTAAGGCTGCCTTGAAAAGTACTACTCCCTAACATGCATTTGGCTCCAAAATAATAGCAAAATTTTACTTTTTGTTACTCTATTTCCTCCAAAGTCGGGCAATCTTTTTCAAGGATGCTAAGAACTAATATTTGCTAGGGCCACTGAGCCAAGAGCCTGAACCCATTACTACAAACCAATGGTTTAAAAAACGGATCGGTGACTTGGATCGAGCTTCCAAAAAACCGATCCAGATTGGCGAATCGACGATTCGGATAAAGAATCGGGTGAATCGGTCAAAATAAAGCTTAAAAAAAATCCGAAAAAATTATTAAAATTCATTATAAATATTTTTTTTTAGAAATTCAATAAAAAATGAGGGTACTCCATTAAGAATTTTCATGTTTTTGAATGAATATGCGAATATTGATATGTTCTTTCCCTGCATGAACCGTCATTTAACATTTAATTTACATCACACAAAAGGATAAACATAGAATTATCATGGAATAAGTATATCAACATACATGGACTACAATAAAGCATAAAATTAATAACATATGATCTAAAAATAAAATGATAGACGACGTTATTGTTCTTCTTGGTCACGTTGGTGCCATTGATTGAATTCGTTTAACAATTCATTGATTCGATCTAAAAACGAATCATCGATATTAGCAAGCGTCTGACTATTCCCAAATCCCTGAGTTTTATTGTTTTGTTGTGTTCCCAATCTAAAATCCCCGAAGATTGTCCATCCTTCATGCTCACCCGCACTGTCGTGCTCATCCCTACGTTGTTGCTGTTGGGACTCGATATGTGAATAATATGGCTGGGATAGGGTGGCCTTAGAATCATCATCTCTCTCATTTTCTCTTTGAATAATATGGAATTAAAAAAAAAAAAACAAATTTTCAAAAAAATCGATCATGGATTAAAAAAAAAATCACAAATTTTCAAAAAATTCTATCATGGATTACAAAAAAAATTCGATCATGGATTAAAATAAAAAAATCACAAATTTTCAAAAAATTCTATCATGGATTACAAAATAAAATTCGATCATGGATTAAAAAAAAAAAATCACAAATTTTCAAAAAATTCAATCATGGATTACAAAAAATTCGATCATGGATTACATAAAATTCGATCATGGATTACAAAAAAAAACAAAAAATTC